TGACAAATTGAAATTTAATGTTCTTATGGCATAAATGACTGGTAATGTGTTCAGAGAAAGAACTAAGGGATCAGTAAGGAATGAGGTTCTTCTAAACCTATATTTTATTGATCTCTTATTGGTGTGTAAGTGGATTGTATTAAGGAAAACAATTTAAATACACCAAGAAAGATGCCATAAGAAATTTTTAAGTAATTGAAATTATTTATAAACATGTGTTCACCTTATAATGCTTTGTCTTCACCTTATAATGCTCTGTCCTTTGGTTAGGGGGTATGTGAAGTAATTTATCGTTACGTATACCATTATGGATACATGTTCTTACTACAACTATTATGCTAATTGGGTTCCTATTAATGCAATTTCAAATAAGAAATTATTTGAACTGCGGAAAGTAAGGAAATCCAGTTTGAGGCAACATGATGTTTTGGGTTGCTTAGTGGGAGTAAGAATATAATGTTCACATGAGAAGGGATTGGACCTTCAGAATGTTTTCTGATAACCTTATTGGTTACCTAGAAAAGTACAAATGGTATAGATTTGATTATCCTAACCAGGATATGAGATTATTGACATCAGTAACGTCAGTTTCATTTTAAATGGTGAAATTAGTGGGAGTGGATAACCAAGGAAATTGGTTTTATGAAAAGTTAGTGTGCAAATTTTTGCATGCATACTTCATAATGAAATTGTTATTCCTACAATTGTGAACAGTTTTAACAACAATGAATAACTAATCACTCCATTATGACTGCTTCACCAGTGAAAGTGTAGTAGAGAACCACAAAGAATAGCATTAAGATGATATCAAGAGATTAAGCGTGTTGGTATCTGCTACTCTTAAGTGATTATTTGGTATATCTACAAGAATCTGATTGTGAGTGTTAAGAAAGATTTTGATTTTATTTTCACATGTCGTTAAACATATATTGATTCTACTAAATAGATTTATGCCATGAATGATGAGTTGAAATCAATTTGCCAAAATGAAGTTTGTGATTTCATCGATTTGCCTGCAAAGGATGATTTGTGTGTAAGAGTGTCTTCATGACTACATATGACTCCAATGGCAATATAGATGGATATAAAGACACACTATTGGCCAACGATTTTACTAAGAAAGACGGCATATGTTATTGTTGAGGCCCAAAAAATCCACGCTTCGGCCCAAATAAATTCTCGGCCCAATGCGATACCTTACCGAGAAGAAACCCGATTTGGGCATGCGAAAGTTCATCATATGCGCTTACACACATGCCATGCCAAGCGACACGCCACGCCAAGCAAGGAATTATTATTCCGCACCTAATCACGCCACAAGCTTAAGTGGGCCCCAAGCCACTCAAATACCCGGGGCTTGCTTGAGTGGGTTGTGGCATGGATAGTAATAAATCAACATGAGGCCCATTGATGGGCCAAGAAATGGAAGTCTCAAGTTGCTTGGGAGCCTCGGGACTCAAGCCCATTTCTTAGGCCCAAACATATGGGTGAGCACAAAAGAGGAAATAACCCATTAGCTTAACCAAATTAGCCCAACACCTCAACAAAAATAGTCCAACACTTGTTGAGGTTAGCCCATTTATTTTGACAAACCAACCCATTATCTTAAAAGGCCATACAATTAGAAAAGAGAAGAAGCCAAAGCCTTAGCTCTTTGCTGGAAAAAAACAGAAGCCACAAAGGAGATGTCCACATATGCAGAGTTGCTGGAAAGGAACAAGTTCCACGCATAAAACACCTGAAGAACCAAGGGATATTAACGTGCAAGCTCCCAGGAAGAGAAGCACCCTTCGAACTAGCATACACACCCCAATTCCTTCCCCCATTAGACTTGGTCATGGAAAAAGGAAAGAAAGAAAGGAAAGAGATGGCTGGGAATGGAAGTCTCCCACTGAAACAGTTGCGGGAAAGGGGGCCTTGAGCTCCCAAAATTCCAGATTTTGTGCAAATAGATAGAGGAAATTTCACCAAGATAGAAAAGTCAAGAGAGGAGATGAGAAAGGAAGAAAAAGCTTGGTCAAGTTGGGAAGAAACCATTAGGGTTTCTTGGGAAATAATAGTTTCCAGCAAGCTATAAAATGAGGCCTCTTCTACCCAACAAAACCAACTCAGATTCAGAGAGCAAGCTTTCTCTTTTATATGCAAAAACCCAGCAATTTCATGCACTATTCACCATTCTTCTCCATTTTCACATATGTTAGAAGCTTTGTCAAGCTGCTGGAAGAACATTGTTCTTTCTTTCTCTCTTCTCAGCCAAATCAGCCTGCAAACCTCTTCTTCCTCACCTTAAACACTCACATTTCACCCTAGGAAGCCATAGTTTCCTCTTTGGTGCTAAACTCATGCTAATTTTGCTTCCATGCCACAAGCCTCTCATGCCAAGCTAGAAAATTTATTTGTAAGCATCAAGAAATTATCTGTAAGCAGCCATTATTTTTGTTGGTGAAGGTAACCAGAACGTTTCCTAAGGTTCTACTGCCTTTTTGAAGCGTTTTTGGGGCTTGATTTTTGAACTCAAACACAAAGGGCAATTTCAGCAATTTCCCTTTTACGGCGGCCCAGCTCATTTGCAGCTGCCGGAAGAAAAAAGCCCCTACAGTTATAAAGTGACATTCTCACTTGTTTCTAAGAATGACTCACTTGGAATCATATAGTGGTATTCGTAACTATTTATGAATTAGAGTTACACTGTATGGATGTGAAAGACAAAATATTAGATGAGTGTTTAATAGAGAAGTCTGCATGAATGAACCTGAAGACTTTTCTTTTATTGAAAGAAACACATGCTTTGTAAACTGAAGAATTTGTTGTATAAAATTAAAAATTTAGCAATTATTATGGTATGCAAAGTTTAATAATATCATAATATTTTTAATTTTTAATTTTTTAATGAAAGCACTATTAATTGTTGTATGTATCTCAAGGTCAGTGGGAGTAAGTCTATATTTCTCACTTTGGATATTTATGCTATTTTGCTTGCTATATATTGGTCTTGGTTTTCATTGTTGAAACCATTAAGCTTTTCTCTAAGAACCTTGAATGAAATATATGGATGAGACAATTTGTGTGATTAGAATTGAAATGTTCCAGAATGGATCACATGAACTTGTTAAGTTTGTCTCATTAAGCATATATTGTAAGTGTTCTAAAGAGACATGATATGGAATAATGTTTATCCATTAATGTTGCTCCAATTTAGAAAGGAGACAAGTTTAGCATTATGTAATGCCCATAAGAGTGAATTGGAACATTAACAGTACAATGAGAGTTCATTATGCATATATGGTTTGCTTTGAGGCCATAGTTGATGAATTGAAGTTGTGGGTTTTAATCTTAGGACTTGGTGTTTATGTTTTATTGCCACGCCACTAAGAATTTATGTTGATACCGCAATTGTCATTTTCTCCAAGAATGACAAGTGTTCTAAGAGTGCTAAACATAATGGAATTAAATATCTTGTCATTAAGGAGGTTCAGAAACAAAGAGTGTCTATAAAGACAAAACTTATGCTTGCAAACCAAGTAAAAGGTTCTGGCCAAAGACATTAATAGTTATGTTGAGAGGACTGTTCTTGGTCATAAACCATGATAGTATTTATGAGGTTGTGGTTTGCACAATGACAGTTTATTTATTTTGACACTCTGAGCTCAATAATTGAATATGTTTATGTTATATCCTGTTTTCCCTTATATGTATACATGAATGAGGACTTACATGGTTTATGATATTATTGGACCTTTTATGATACTTCTCACTTGTTGACTGTTTTAGGTGATTTGTTAATGTTGTGGTACATGGAAGGGATTGTATCGATTATTGATGCATAACTGCCATGACTCGCATTAGACATTTGCTTAAATGCGGTATTTATGTCGACCATATGAAAGTGAGGATTATTCTGAATGTATCGCATGCCTAATGTTTATTTATTGAACCATAAAGTAAATTTATCATATGGGCCAAGTGGGAGAATGTAAGAATATTTTATAAATATTCTGTGTGGCCCACATGAAGTGACCTATGTGATAAATAAATTGTTTAATTGGTTTAATAAATATTATTCAGAATTATATTGGTCAAATAAAGAGAAGTAGTTTCTTATTTTATTGCCGTGATGGGTGGTAATTGATTATGGACTTCACTAGGAAACGGGTCCTCTCTCTGTCTATAATAGTGCACATACCCATCTTATGTGTATACTGATGAAGACACGTATTAGGGTTTTCTAAACGTGCAAAAGGCTAAAGAGAGAAATCTATTTCCTCCACACTAATGGCTCGCCTACGGATCGCTTAAGACAAATATCTTGATATGGTAGGAGACTAATCATTCAAGGTATGTATGTAATTTAAGTCTAATTGAATTTCCGCATAATGCTATTGTGAAAAACATGAAGTTCAAGATCTTGGGTCATGGATTGGGTTCTTATGGTTTTACCCAATATTAAATTTACATAGTTTTCTCTCATCTCTCTTTTTTCTTTCTTTCTTTCCTTCAATCTTCTCTCATCTCTCTCTCTCTCTCTCTCTCTCACTCTTTCTTTCTTTTCTTTTTTTTCCTTATATTTTCTCTACTCTCTCTGTTTTTTTTTAAATTAAATTTTTTCGATTGTGAGTTTCGTAACATGCATGTTATTATTTATGAAACCGTTACACGACTCGAAACCTGCATTATAAAATACGACCTGAACCAGACACGACACGTTTATTAAATGGGTTGGGTTCGGGTTGAGCATTCTTGACACGTTTATTATCCCGACACGACACGAACCCGACACGACACGACCCATTGCCAGCCCTATTCCCAACCCTCCCCTAGCACGACTTAGCTAGCCAACCTAAGACCCCAACCCAGCCAAATCAACACCTCAACAGCCCAAACAACTACCTCAGCTAGCCAAACCACCATCCACCACCTCATTCTCCTTCAGTCCTCTCCTCCTAGCCCCAACCAATACCAGAGCCCTAGCCAATAGATCTGAGGAGGAGATCTGCTCGTTGTCAGGGACGTATGGCAGATTCGGCATATGGGTTCTCCACAACGTCGCCTAGTTTTCGAGGTGGACGACGACCCAACCACCTGGGTTTTCGAAGTTGAAGACGACCCATCGCCCCTCTCGATTTCCCATCGCACCTCCTAATCGCCCCGAAATCTCTCAGCCCAGCGCCACCCCTATTCTCCACGCAGCCCCGCCCCAGCCCTATCCTTTTTCCCTCCGCCATTATCTCTCTCTCTCTCTCTTACATATGATTTGATCCAATTATGCTAACACACCCATATCCCCACCACCAAGCCCCATACCCAGATCTGCAAGTAGCTAGACTCCAGATTGTGAAACAAATGCAGCAATCTCCAAATTTAATTTTTTAAAAATAATCCAACCATTTGGACTAATATGGAGGAATCAAAATCACGCCCTTGAAAAAATCGATAGCCCATTTTCAAAATGCGACTAAGTTCTTGAAGCCTAAAGTTGTAGGAGTTGGGGATTTGAGGGTTGGGCTGGTGTTGGGGAAGAGAGAGAAGGAAGGGAGAGGCGATGGGGGTTGAGCTGGAACAAGATGGGTTGTATGGCTAGGATGTGTGGCCTAGGTAAGTTATTTGGGGATGTGAGTGAAGGAGCTGGGTGGTAGTTTGGGTGGTTGTTTTGGTGGCTGGAGTAGCTGGGTTCGCTGGGTAGGGGGCTTGGAAGAGAGATTTTTTTATTTTTTATTAAAAGGTAATTAATTTTTAATTATATATTTGTCCACATGGAAGTCCACGTCAATTAAAAAATAGGTCCCACAAATGCCACATCGGCATTTAACAGATTAACTAACGGTTTGGTTAATGGATGGGGTAAACTGTAGAATTTCCGGGAGCTTGAGTATATACTCATAAATGTCTCTAAAATTGGGTATAAACTTGAAAATGACCCTATAAAGGGGGTTTTATGTAGTTTGTCCTTAGAAATTCATATAAAACTTTTAAATATAACCAAAATCTCACTTAAATAAATCTAAATGCCCTTGCAATTTAAAACTAAATAAATCTAAACAGGTCAACAGGGTCTAACCCACTGAAAAAAGGTATTGACTTGCAAACCTGAGGTCTCAGGTTAGAATCCCAATAATTATAGCTTTATGTGTGTGTGAAAAATCTCTCTCCCCTTCCCTCTAGTCTATACTAAGGGTGGGCATAAGAACTGGAGATCGGCAAAACTGAGCCAATCCGAACTGAAAAAAACTTAAAAAATTAAGTTGACTAAAAAGTCAACAAAAAATTCAAAAATCAAACTGGATTAGTTCCGACCGGTTCTAGATCTGATTTTATCTCTCCTAAAATTGTAATGGACTGAACCGGACCGGATTAAATATAAATATAATTATTTATTGAGATTTATATATACTTGAGCCATCTCCAAGCCCAACTTCAATAAACTCCAAGCCCAACTTTTTGTTTACTTTATACCATAAAAAACACAAAACAAATATTATTCTTTTACTTTTCCAAAGGGGTTGTGGGGTGGGTGGAGAGAGAGAGAGAGATGTAGGTTTTTTTTTCTTTTAATTTTAAATATTTCAAAATAATATTTTAGCTTGTAATACAATTTTTAAATTTAAATTATGTTTAAAATATATATATATATATTTTTCATTTAAATCCAGGTGGCATTGCAAAATAATAGACATTTAAGATACAAAGCAATATAATAATAAAATAAAATTTTGGTACAGAGGAGAGCAATATAATAATAATAATAATAATAATAATAATTTAGAGTAAAAGAAAATATAATAATAATTTAGGATAAAAGGAAATATAATAACAATTTAAGGTAAAAACTAATATAATAATAATTTAGGGTAAATAATAATAGTTTATGCTTAAAAAGGAATATAATAATAATTTAGGTTAAAATACAATATAATAGTAATTTAGGGTAAATGACAATATAATAATAATTTAGGATTAATAATAATATAATAATAATTCAAAGTCCAAAGCAATATAATAATAATTAAACATCTGTCGAAAACAATGACAGCTCTTCTTTCTGGGACTGCCATAAGTGATTCCCTATAATTTAATATTATTTTTTTGGGATTTAACTAATAAAATTCACAATAAATAAATTAAAAATCTAAAAAATACACCAGAAAGTCTTATGAACTCCTTATGGCATTCTCTATGCCCTCAAGCTTTGAAATATAACTTCCAGTTATAAAAATATAAATTGACAACTTTGTTTCTAAACAATCAAAAACACTAGTTGATATTTCATAACATAACACTCAAGTTGTTTGGGCCAAAAGAAATTTAAAAGCACCAGCCCATCTTCGCAAGGAAATGCCATAAAATAGAAAATGGGCTTCAATTACCAGATTAAGAAAAAGCCCAATCCGCGCCAGAAACCCACGTCTTTTTCTAAAAAGACAGAATTGTAAAGAAACGCCAAATTAAAATGGCGGTTACAAATTAAGCATATCAATAAAAGAAGAAAAGTGAATTGGGCCTAGTCTTCAAAACCTACCATTTCTCTCAAAAAGCCTAAGAACAATTTGGCAGACTTTTCTGAGGAAACTGTTCTCAAGGAAGCCCACGTGACTACCTAAAGACTTTGAAAAAGTCAACAATTTCAACTAGTCACAAAGGAATTTGATAAGGGGTTAGTGAAGGCACTCTTATAGGAAGATTTCCCAAGTCTGTCACATACATAGGAGAAGATCAAAATCCTTTTCTGTATTCAAAAAATTCGGCAGACATCATTTCCAAGGGATAAGCAGACTATATTTTCTAAAAGGACAAGTAGAAGGCAAGGAGTTGTATAGACAGAAAATCAAACTAACCATCACAGTTTGAGCTCTTACAAAGGCATTTAAAATTAAAGAAGAAGGGTTAGGTTTTCTTTCAGAAAATGCAGGGAAGTGACTGCCTTAAGAACTAACTATGGAAGGCTTATCTGCCAGAATTGATAAAAACTCTTTTTCTTTGCATTTTAAAAATAAAAGATATTTGTCAGAAAATCTGCCGCCCATTTCTATAAACTCTACTCCAGCATTTCCTATAAATATAAAAGAGGGTGAACAAAGCAAAGGACACTCGACAATCAAAAAATCAAACAACCAAAAATCAACCAAAGACAAAAACTCAAAATGATCACTTGATCTCTGAGAACCTTCAAACAAACTGAAGCAACCAAAAACTCATTCGAGCCACAGAAAAAGCCAGCTATAAATCAAAACTTCCAGTTCAGACTTAAGAGAGATAAGTCACTCAAAACGAGACTTCTCTCGTTACAAATTTGGTTCAGCAAAAACCAAAACAAGCAGAGTCTAGGTTTTTACAAATATGAAAACCTCAACAAATTTATGGAGAGTCCTGATCAGGCAGAACAGGTACCACAGTGCAGTTCCAGCTCAGTAATCCTCAAGTCCAGCCACTTTTGCCCCTTTCAGACTAAAGAGGCTGCAATTTTGCCCATTCAAAAAGCCTTCCAAGGTTTGAAATAGATTAGAGCTCTGCCAAACTCGAATGTTGATATTGATTTACAGTTGAAGCTTAGCAATTGAAATTGTTAATAGCTCAGTCCAGCACATGCTTACCTAGTCCAGCTCGGATCAGGAGTTTTCTACCCATGCAGAAATGGAAGTCCAGCCTTCCTTTTGTCTTTCTAGAGTTGATTTTTCCTTTTTCAGTTTTGTAAAAGGCACTTCTGCCTAAAAATAGTTTACTATCTTATCATTTATTCTGGCCAGAACTACCAGTTTTGTACTGTGAAAAATTGTGAAGTCCTCACCATTCTGAGGCAAGAAAAGAACTTACTTGGGAGATATTTCTCACCCAAATTCACAATCGCTTGTTTAGAAATCAGTAACTTGGGGCGCAAGTTATCTATTTTTAAAAAGTCTTTTAGAATTTTTATTACTAGCAGTGGCACGCTCGCACACTAAAGAAAGTTGACTTGTTGACCAGTCAATGGTTTTCAAGGCAATGAGGAACTTTACCCTTCCATCACAGGAGCAAACACAAAACTGGTGAACACAAGTTATTTGATCAAACGATTATCATAAACTCCAATATGTTAAATCCTGATTTTTTTTGGACCTCCATAATTGAGGATGATGTCGTGAGGAGTTTGTAGCAATTTTCGGTGTATTTTTATGATTTTTAATTTATTTATTACTCATTTTAGAAGTTAAATAATAGAAAAATAATATTAAAGTGTATAGACCAATCATGGGTCACCACTTGTTGGGGGAAACACTGACGGCGCCAACTTCAACTGTGCCACATGTCACTCAGTATGATTTAATATTATTTATCTTGAATTTAACTTCCAAAATTCAGAAAAAATAATTAAAAATTCAAAAAATACACCGAAAATTCTTAGAAACTCCTTGTAACATTCTCTACACCTTATTCAACCTTTAAAAATAGAATTTTGAGCTATACAAATGTAAATTGATAATAAAATCTCAACTTTATTTCTAAGCAATCTAAAACACTAGTTGATGTTTTATAACCTCTAGAGTTGATGCTTTATAATCTTTGATCCATTGCTTACCATGAACTCAAATATGTGGAATCTTTATTTTAAACCTCAAGAGTAGAAGATAATGTCAAAAGTAATTTTCGGTGTTTTTTTTATAAATAATTTATAATTATTTTTTTATGAAAATTTAAAAATAAACTTGAAAAAGTAATCAAAACAACATGTGGCGCAATCATGTCACGCCACCTGTTGGAAACATTGATGGCACCATCTTCAGTTCCTGCCACATGTCACCCTATACTATTTCATATTATTTTCATGAATTTAACTTTTAAAATTCATAATAAATTAATTAAAAATCTAAAAAATACATCAAAAATTTCTATGAACCCTTTTGACATTCTATACACCCTCAATCTATAAAATTATAACTTTTAAATTATAAAAATATAAAATGATAACGATAACTCAAATTTATTTCAAAACAATCTAAAATACTAGTTGATGTTCTACCACTTAACACTCATGCTCTTTGATCCAACAATTACCTTGAACTCAAATATGTGAAATCATGATTTTGGACCTTCATAATTGAGGATGATGTCTTGAGGAGTTTGTATCAATTTTTGATTTATTTTTCTGATTTTTAATTATTTTTAAATAATTCTTAAATATAAATTTGAAAAAAGTAATCAAAATGACATGTGGTGCAATTGGGGGACGCCACCTATTGGAAACACTAACGGC